CATCAACATCATCCGAATCACCATCAAATTCCGAATCAACAACATCATCCGAATCATCATCATCATCATCATCATCATCATCATCATCATCATCATCATCCGAATCATCATCATCATCATCATCATCATCATCATCATCATCATCATCATCATCATCATCATCATCCGAATCATCATCATCATCATCGGAATCATCCGAATCATCATCATCATCACCATCAGCATCATCATCGACCGAGTCATCGTAAACATCGGAATCATCATCATAATCTGAAAAATCATCATTATCATCATCATTTGAATCATGATCACTTTCATCATGATCATAATCATCATCATCCGAATCATCAACATCATCCGAATCATCATCATCATCCGAATAATCGACATCATCCGAGTCAACATCAAAATTCGAATCTTAATCATCAGGCGAAACTTCATCATCATGCGAATCATCATCATCATGCGAATCAACATCATCATCATCATCATCGTTATCACCACCGTCATCATCTTCATCATTTTCATCCGAATCATCAGCATCATCATCCGAATCATCATCATCATCGTTCCAAACATTATCCGAATCATCATCATCATCATCATCATCATCATCAACCTCATCATCCGAGTCAACATCATCCGAATCATCATCATCATCATCATCATCGGAATAATCATCATCATCATCATCATCATCAACATCATCATCATCATGCGAATCATCATCATCCGAATCATCTTCATCATTATCATCATCATCATCATCATCATCATCATCATCATCATCCGACTCATCATCATCATCATCCGAATCATCATAATCATCCGATTCATCGGCATCATGCCAATCATCATCATCATTTTCATCATCCGAATCCTCATCATCATGATCCGAACATCATCACCGTCATCCGAATCGTCTGAGTCATCATCATCATCATCATCATCCGAATCATTATCATCATCATCATCATCGTCATCAGCCGAATGGTCATCATGATCCTGAACCTCATCCGAATCATCATCCGAATATTCATCCTCATCTTCATCATCCGGAACTTCAACATCATCATCATTATCATCATCGTCATCATCATCATCATTGTCATCCGAATCATCATCATCATCATCATCCGAATCATGATCATCATCATCATCATCATCATCGTCATCAGCCGAATGGTCATCATGATCCTAAACCTCATCCGAATCATCATCCGAATATTCATCCTCATCTTCATCATCCGGAACTTCATCATCAGCATCATCATCCGATTCAACATCATCCCAATCATCCGAATCATCATCATCATCATCATCATCCTCGTCCGAGTCATCATCATTATCATCATCCGAATGACTATCTTCATTTTAATGATCATCGTCTTCCGAATCATCATCGGAATCTTCGTCATCATGATTATCATCATCAGCATCATGATCATGATCCTCAACCGATTTTTCTTCCGAATAATCAACATCATCCGATTCATCACCTTCATCCGAATCATCATCATTATTATCCGAATCATCATCATCTTGAGCGTCATCATATTCATCATCATCCGATTCATGATCATCATCCGAATCACCATCATCTTCATCATCATCATCAACATCATCATCATCATCATCACCGTCATCGTCCGAATCCTCATCATCATCCGAATCATCATCATCATCATCATGCGAATCATCATCGCCATCCGAATCATCATCATTATCCGAAACATCATCATCATCCGAATCGTCATCATCATCATCTTCATCATCATCGTCATCCGAATCATCACCATCCGAATCATCATTATCATCATCATCCGAGGCTTCATGCGAATCATCATCGTCATCATCACCATCATCATCATCCGAATCATCATCATCATCATCATCCGAGTCTTCATCGTCATCCGAATCATCAGGATCATTATGCGAATGATCATCATCATCATCATCATCATCATCATCATCATCATCATCATCATCATCATCATCGTCGTCATCATCATCTTGATCGTCGTATCCTCCAGCAGACACAGGAGAAACTGGAACTAATCCCAATGAAACTGGTCTCTACCGTTGCAAGCTTTACACTTCGGGTGAACGCGCTAGCCATACGCATTCACGTGAGGAAATTTAGTAAGTGTTTGCCTACTACCCCATAGACACTGTCGGAAAATCTAAAGTATACCATCCAAAATGTTGTTTCAAATTCATGGTCTTTTTATCTGTGTTGTGATTCTCGGAATCTCTCGTTAAACTTCTTGTAATCAATTGCGATATGAACACTAGCCTCGCATTATCATCATGATCATTGTACAGCGCAATACAGCGAAGCGAATTTCATTAATCGCTGCCAAACTCAAGTGCCATACAAGGTAAGTGAGAAGGTGTAAGGAAGATAGGGATTGGACTTAGTTTTAGGGACGGGAAAAGAAAGCGAACCCCTATGGTCAACACACAGAGTACACAGTCCAACTGTGCACACATACTATTT